GGATTTTCCTTTACAGAGTTCAGTTTTCTGTCATCTTTAGCTCAATTGTACTAAGAGGTCGTTTGGAAGTTGCGATTGTTAAATAGATGTATTGTTGAGAATGCATGTATAATATTATACATGTATTGTCGAATTTGATGCATTGTAGAATACAACGTTTGGTATGTGTGATTGTGTATGTCGCATTAGCTAAAAGCTTAGACAAAACAATCTCAACTCAACTATCTCAACAATCACAACTAAAAGTTGAGATATAACAATCACTCAAAATGAGTGATAGTTTCTGTCACATCACAGAAACAGTCCATGTATTGCTTCTGCTAAAAAAACAAAAAAACGATGCATTGTAAACAATACATGCATAATGACAATCTCAACAAAACTATCGCAACTTTCAAACGACCCCTAAATATCAATCAACTTCCATTGATCTTAGCATGTCAATCAATCACCCAAATCAATAACTGTATAGAAAGTCATATAAACCTTCCAGTAAGCTATCATACAGGAGAACATATAAGACATCATAAGTATTGTCTGGAACGGGAGATATGAAATGAAACTAGGGTGAATAAAGAATTTAAAATGAATCGGATATATGTTGAAATTAAAGCAGCCATTTGTAATTAACATAACAACCCAATACACCATCATAATTGCAATGTAAAGACGAAAGATTGGTTTGGAAAAGTACCCATTGAGAGATTAACACAAAGTTAAGTTTTCATGTGTATATATCACCAAAATTTAAGGTGAAAGAGCAATATGAACAAGACGTATGATGGGTGGAAGACATGAGTAGGCAGCTTTCTCTCTTTGAAGCCATATATATCGAACATGAGAAACAATAAACATACAAAAATACCGATAGGAAGAAGAAGAAGGGAAGAATGGTACAATGTGGTTTGCTGCTCTCAAATATAGCATACTTCACGTGGCCTTCCTATGCCCTAAACAGTAAACGACGGGAGAGCAATCAATCACACATGTCCACATTATTGAACATCTTATAAACAACGAAGTCATTCAATTCCTTTGCCTCCCTCACCTCTCATTTCGAGTTAGGCTTGTCATCATGATATAAGATGTGAAGTACAAACCTAATAATAGGTTAATAACTCCTCCCTTGCCAAACATTTTGTCTGAATTCTTCGTCACTAATTAATTCGAGTAAAATTACATGAACAGTCACTGTACTATTCATGGATTACTAGCACGGTTAGTCATTGAACTTTGATGTTTAACAAGTTTGTTGCCTGAAGTTGGGAAACTAGCATAACAATCAACTACTCCGATTTTTTCGTCTGAATGACTATATCATGGCGTGTGATCTCACCAAAATTCATTGATGAGTGCCGAAAATCATGTTAGCCAACCAAGTGGTAGTGGGATGAAGGGAGTATGATGAGATGTGGCTTAGAACTAGTTGTATCGCGAGCAACATGTTTGATTTGAATTTAGTACGAGTTAAAAACATGTCATTGATATACATATGCTGGTCTCTATGCATGTAACATTTTTATGTTTATTCAGCGCGTGAGTTGGCACGTTAGTTTGAACGATTATTAAGATGAGGTTGCCAGTCGACTATTACGTTAGTTATTCCGGAGCAAGTTGATAGTAACCAAAGAAATGACCCTCCAACCCCTATGTGCCATGTACCAAACAATGTTGTGAGGTTGATTGATGCAAGCCAGCTAAAGGGTTGGCAACATCTGGAGAGGGATCATGTTTGTCCACAGTGAAAAGCTAGAATAGCAAGCAAAATGTTCAAGGGACAAAAGGGTTTGTATAGAAGTAATTATCGAGAGAGAGAATAAGGTTGGTGGGTATATCATCTTATTTGTTTCCCATATAACCACAAAAGGATCAATGCAAGTGTCCATATGCCTAAGTATATACTGTCAGATGGCTATGGCTACATAGCTAGCTGATGATTTGCAAAAAAGAAGAGGGTCGATCGATGATCATGATGATGATGAACAAGAAGAGATCAGAAGAGAGAATTGGCCTGTGTGCACACTTTGACATGTCACTGAGATACTACCAAAGTAAAAACAAGCAAAGAATCCCCACATAAAAACAAATAAAACCCATAAAGATGAAAAAGGTAAAAAAAGAAGAAAAGGTTAGCTAGGTTATTTTAATATTTCCCTCTCTCGTATTCATCACCTGATTTTGAGCAAGATCTGCTGTTAAATCGAGAGACAGTGAAAAAAAAAAAACTAATAACTACTCAAAGTGACAGCTGATGAACTGATGGCTTGGCTGCCATCTCCTGGCTGCCCTTTTTTTTTTTTTTTTGGTTTCTTGGCTGCCCTTTTATGAGTCCACTCCTTCTCCCCTCTGTTAAAAGGAAGAAAAGAAAGAAGGTCAACTGAGTATAAAACGGTCAGTGAAACTTTGAATTCTTAATCAACTTGTTTTTTTTTTTGTATCAAGTTGGAAATGACTAACAAGACGCTCATTAATTCCATCTGTTTCCCAAAAGTTTTCGTCCAATTCATCCTGATTACTTTACTGTGTCCACTCATCTAAATCACTAATACAAACCAAAGAAAGAAGTCATGTCTTTACTTAGTTGTGGAGTAGAGCATTTAGAGATTATGATGGTTGGTTATGAATGTAGTTGAGATGGATCTAACAATTGGTTTAGTCTGTTGAATTTAATTATGAGGTAAATTAGGTCTTCAATGTAAACTATACTTAGAATCAATTTGTGAGGACTTTTTTGTTATTGAACTTGAAAGTTGAGATCTGAACAATTTAGATGAAGGAATTAACTAACATTGCCGATAACAAGTTTGTTGAGGCTCAAAGTAAGGGTGGCTATACGGTCCGGTCCGGTTAAATTGGTTCAAATTGATCCGGTCCCAGTCCGATCTTTGCGGGAATATAAAGACCAAAGATTGGATTGGATACAGTCCGGTCCCGACCCGGTCCGGTCCTAATTTGGTTTTGATTTTAGATCGACCTTGTAGGGATTTGAGTTGCCCGATGACTCAAAGGGTGAGGAGTTGGCTAAGTTTTGGGTGCTGGGCTCTCTTATCCGGTTTTCGATTCGGTCCCAAACGGTTTTTTTACCTCAAATGTAAGCCCGAAATTGGATTGAATTATTTACTATCCGGTTCCAGTCCGGTCCCAATTCGGGTTATACGATCCGGTTTAGGGTAAAACCAAATAGCCAACACTAACCCAAAGTTGAGTTGTTAGTGCAAAATGAATGACCATTATTGCAATTGAACATTGGAGAGAGAGACTAGAGAGAGAGAGGTGGAAAGAAAGAGGGTATAGTGTATAGTATAAGATGGGCAGGTTTTCTGTTTGGTTGGCCTCATATGGTACAGGTACTGAAGCCAAACCAACCATGTACAACAGTACCCATATACTCTCCTCTTTTTTTTCTCTGACTGACTCCACCCTTCCTTTCTTTTCTTCTCTTTTCTTTCATGGCAGCCATTGAAATGACTTATCATCAATTTCCTCATCATTTCACCAAGACTCTCCCATTTGACTGCTGCTGCTGCTCTCTGTCCATCCATCTATCAACCCACAAAACCATTGTTGGGTAAAGCTGCCAACAAGATCCACATATACCTCTTCCATATACAAAGAGATTGTAATTATATATAAAAAAGAAAACCCATTTGTTTGCATGCTATGGCTCTTGCTGTCTTGCAAGAATGCATCACTGTTATGACTTCTGGACATCTTTCTCCATTTGCTTTCCTTCCTCTCCATTATCATAATCATCACTCAAGTATGGCCTTGAGAGGTCACTCTCACAACATTATACTGTGAATCAAAACTCTTCATAATTATTGTGTTGCTATAGCTTGCTAGAGTACTGGCTGGCCCATAATTTCTACTTTGGCCAATTGGGTTCTCTTTTGTAACCACGTATCAATCCTCCAGGGGGTTCTATATGTAAAAATCACAACCCTAGCTATGGCAAAGTTGCAAGGTTGTTTAGCCTCTCCTCTCCTTTCTTTTCCAATGTCCCTTTTATGTCCTAACCTACCCTATATATATTGGGAAGGGTACTACTATGTATCAATATTGTAAGATTGTATTGAATGTTTTTGATGGAAAAATCAGTGGTAGTGTTTTCTATGTTGAACTCGGGACGTTTAACTTCATACCGTTAAAAACTGTCTACTGTGATTCAGACTTTGATATGAGATTTTTTCAAGTCGAACTGCTCGTATAGTACGGTTTCGCGAACCCTTATATTATATACTAGTATGTACAATTCAATTTCAGTATTTTCCACCATACAAGTACAGCAAGAAGAGATAGAGAGAGAGAGAGATGCAAAAGGAATTATTGAAGACAAGAAGTTGACAACACAGCACATGCCCATTTAATTCCCTTCTCTTGCGCTCCCCCTTTGTTTGTGCAAACGCTTACATGTAAACAAACAAAACACACCATGAAGAACAGTAGTACAACTCAGTCTCACACACTTACTTACAGTCCTACACACGTGTGCATCGCCCATACACGTGTGTGTAATAGTCAAGTGAATATTGTATAGTTAGTGGGATAGATAGGGTAAATGAAAACATGAGACATGTTGTCTTATTTTTCGTTCCACACTCTATTAATAACGTGGTTAGTTATTTATTATTTAGTGAAGTAACATATAGTGTGCTAATATGAGACAAATATCCGGTTTAAGAAGAGATATTAAGACTTTCTTCATCCAATCATTTAACGTTGTAACGATTCTTTTGAAGTATGATATCTATACATAACTATATCAGTTTATCATAGGTGTCATTGACTTAAGGCATGATATATCAAGCGAAAACTCATAATTTCATTTTGAAGAGTTACGTTTAAAGCGACCAGACTTAATAAGTCGGTAAGTTATAATCTTAATCGATATCACCATTTTTTATAATGATTTCTAATCGTTCAATTTGATTTTCATCCATTTTCACTTTTTTTTTTGTTAGCAAAACTCCATGATCAATACCATCTCGTAACTCTGAAAAGACCGATAAATAGAGGTGTATGTATGTTTAATTTGCCCCCAAAATCGACCTAAGTTAACATCAACACCGCCACATGCATGGAAAATCATCAAATAACAACACACTTAAACATGAAAACCGATCATCATCATCAATCCGTCCTCCAAGCTAAGCTACATTGCTGGATTACTTTTGACACGACTTCCCCCACCACATTGTAATAAACGATCAACCCAAAATCTGCAAAAAAACTAATGCAATTGCCAAAACCCTAGCTAAACCATCTACGTACTATAACACTATCAACTCACCACCGAGTCACCGAGTCACACCCACCACCACCATCATCATCATCATCACGACTCGTTGTTATCCTGCTGCTCCACATCCGACTCCTCCTCTTCTTCTTCCTCCTCAAACGTGTCGATCCCGTAGGCGGCGTGTCCGCTGCCGAACGACCGGATGTGGTCTTTCAGCGACCGCTTGTGCTTGAAGTCGGACCCACAAGTGCAGTACCAGAGCTTGCCGCAGTTCTTCTCGTGGGTCCGCCAGTCACCTCGGACGGCGAAGGCCTTGCCGCACTTCCGGCACATGAAGGGCTTGATCCCGTGCTTCCGCTTGTAGTGAGTCTGCAGGGTGCGGAAGTCCTTCAACGGCTTGGCCCGCGGGTGGTCGATGTTGTTCCGGCAGCCCGGGGCGCAGCAGTAGCAAGGCAGCCGGAGCATCGCCGTCGGCTGGGTCCCGCGGAGGGACTCGGGGCCCTTCCGGTACTGCGAACCGTGGCCCCACATGTGCATCTGTGAGACGACGACGAGGGAAAAGGAAAGTCAGAATTACGAATTCAGAATGTGATGGATGTTTCGAAGGGATAAAAAAAAAAGTATTCATAGGATATGATGATAGCAAATATTGTGTGCATGGTGAAGTATAATACAACAAATTTTTTTTTTTGTTGGAGTTGGAACTCCGATGAAAAATATGATTTGATTTTCAAAATTTTCTGTGATATTCAATCATTTTCAATCCATTTCTTACTCACGAATCACATGTAACACTTGAAATATTTCAAAACGTATTTAGATGATGTTTCGTCGCACTGAGATTTGAGCATTGATGTTTGGTTGGGAGAATGTATTATCAGCTTTGCCATACATTATCGTTGATTCAACCCTTTAAAAACGAGCGAAATTTATTTAGTGCGGAAGAAGGGGCATGATCTTGTACAGAAACGGCATTTCGTAGGTGACCAATATAGTATTAGCTCAACCAAACGATGATGTAGGATGAAAACATTTTACCATACTTTTCTGTTATAATAACTTTTCTATAGTGGAGATTTGGAATGAGATGGTAAGTTATACAACTGTAAATAATCTCATTACTTGATGAAATGAGAGGGGATCTAAGGTGTGAAATGTGAATGATAGTTTAGATTTAGATATGAGAAAGAGGAGAGGGGGCAGTGTAGTAAAGTGTAGGGTTTTGACTTTTTTCCATTTCTTTGGTGTTATTAAAAAAATAAAGCTGTGGGTATTGCATTGTGTTAGCTATCTAGCTAGATAGAGAGTGGAAGATCGATCGAGTAATATATGCAATCACAGCAGCAACATAGCACAAACTTCAAGAGAGGGGGAAAAAGCTGAAGGATGGGTGATTGATTGAGTAGTTCAATCAGACTCACAGAAGAAGAGAGAAAGAGAGAGAGAGATAAAAGAAGAAAAAAAGCAAAAGGGAAGGGGAAGACTGATACATGAATGACTCATCTTTTTTATTCCCACCCTGGGATGGTCCAGTTCTGCTGCTGCTGCTGCTGCTGCAGTGTGCATATATCACTACTGTGTGTATCTATCTCTTTTTTCCTTCTTTACATTGAAAAAGAAATTACTGGGTAAGATTGATTAAATGCTAGCTTCCAAATCCCAAGGGACTGATGATAGATCTCCATAGATCATGCATAAAGGGGGGGAAAAAGGGTTGTTTGGAGGGTAATTAATTCAAGTTAATTACAGGGAAGAGGACCCTTAACAGAAGTTTGAAAAGTAATTAATGGGTGATGATAGTCAAAAGGGAAGATTATGGGAGAAAGGTAGTCTGTGTTTTCTTTCACTCTACATAGAATGGAGAGCAAATTAACAATTAACAAAAGAAAACCCTAATGGCCCCATTACACTAACTCCCTTTTTTTTCTTTCCTTCACCATGATGATTTCAGTAAGCAGAAAAAGAAAGTCATTAAGTGGATATGAATTGAATCAAGGTTGATCAGCAGCAGTTAAAGATCCTTTGACACACAAGCAAAAATGGGTTTCTTTTCTCTTTAGTTTCTGCACAAATCAAAAGGGGGTTTGAAGGGAGAAATACAAGAAATGGGGTAGAGAGAAAGGGAAAGGCCAAAGGCAGAAGCTTTTTCAAACTGCAGTCTGCAAAATCATACCTTTTGCTTTCATTTCCCCCCATGTTATTGAAGCAAAGATGTGAAATTTGAGGGATTTAGTGGGAAAAGGGAAGATCTTTCAGTATACCTGCATGTTGTTGTAGCGGTTGAAGGTCTTGAAGCAAAGAGGGCAAGAGAACTGAGTTGGGCCAATCAGGATCTGGGCTGGTGTTGGGATCCAGTACTGTCCTCTGTTTATCCTGTTTATCACCATCATCCCTCCACCTCCTCCTCCATTACTATTATAATTACTACCATGGAGCTGCTGCACCTGATTATTGTTACTGCTACTCCCATTACTATAATGATCATCATCATCATCATCAACATCACCACCATGATTATTGCTATCATTATGAAGTACAGCAACCTCAGATCTCCCATTGATATTAAGCACAGCTTCTTTTCTAGCAGCAGCAGAAATCTCCAGTGTAGTTGTTGCTGCTGTGGAGGAGGAAGATATTGGGCTGGGAAGCCCTAAATGTAGAGCCACAGTGACAGTGCCATCTTCTTCTTCATGATCATCACATGATGTTGATGATGTCATGAGCTGGTGATGGTCCAGGTCCATGGGCCTTCTTGTTGGGCTGAGGCAGCTCAGCAGTGGGAGTGCTTCCCTAATTGGAGGTGAAGGTGGTGAGTATTCATGATGATGAAACTGCTCTCTTGATGATGGCGTTGAGGAGAAGAAGTTGGTGAAGGAAGAAGGTGATGATGATGAGGTGGAGGAGGAGAAGTGGTGGAGATGGTTGAGGTAATTATTGGTGTGGTAGGGGAGATTGAAGTGCCAATTGCTGCTGCTGTTGTTGTTGTTGTTGTTGCTATGGTAGAAGCCATTGTTGTTGAAGTAATTGGAAAAGGGATCAGCCATTGAAGAAGAGAAGGAGGAGGCCAAAAAGGGGGTTATGATGGATGGGAAGGAATCAATTCAAGGACCCCAAAAGGGAAGAAGGAGAACAAGAAGAAGAGGATTGGGCCTAGAGAGAAAAGGAAGGGTTTTTTTTTTATGGCTAGAGAAGGAGAAGTGTGAGGAAGAAGGGGTTCAGATGAATGAAGGAGAGGGATCAAGTGAGGGGTTGATAAAGGTGACCCAATTGAGTAAAAAAATGATGGAGAGAGAAGAGAGAAGGGGAGACAAGATGTCACTTGTTGAGGTGTGACTAAACATTAGAGAACAAAATAATGATAATAAGAAATGTTTATTTATTTATTATTATTATGATATGGTTAAAGCAAAGAGAGAGGAGGAGGAAACAAGAGGGAATGGGCTGAGAAAGTGCAGTGAGGAGAAAGGAAAGGAAGAGAAGGTCCTTTTTTTCTATTTTCTTGAATTATATATTTTTAATTTTTCGTATTTGTGTTTAGGAATGACAAATTGGATATGATTCGTTTTATTCGATCTGTTTATTCGGATTTGAAGTGAAAGCCTTCATTTGTTAAATAATTACATTTTATTAATCACGTGGAGTTTGTTTCTCAAGTTTTTATAAAAAAAAATTAATATTTCAAGTATTTTCCTTAAAATGATGTGTGAATCAATTTGTTTCAACCGATATTCCAAAATAAAATACACAATCTGAATTCAATCTATCACAAAACGAATATAACTATCGAGATATCCGTCTAAATTTTCATTCCTATATGTATGTGTGTGGTTGTAGATAAACGAATGAATACTTGTTTATCTTGGGACTTGGGAAACCCACAAACAAAGACTCTCCTTCCTTTACATCCTTATTGAATAGTGTGTATTGTAGAAAGGGGATGGGAATGGGGAGATATTATGAGAATAAAGAACATGCATACACTAAAATCCAAACATACATGTACTATTGTTATTAATATAAATATAGGTAAAAGAAGTGTAAATGAAATAATGTTTAAATATTCATAAACCACCCTACCAACAACCACTAATGTTGATCGATTGACTATCTTATTTTTGAAGCTTTTTTTTTTTTTGACAACATTATTTTTGAAGCTTACCGAAACAACAATATACGGCTTTTTACCACATTTAATACCCTAGATGTTTAGTATCCGTTGCATTAGAATTTAGAACAAAGAACTAGTGTGGTCTAAAGAGAGGGAAACATAGAATTAGTGTCTTACTCGATCAATGTGTTCTTTTTATAATAGTATTATATTAGCTTTATAAAATATATGTCTGCTTTTGATTTCATTGAATGAGAATGAGGTGGGGTAAAGTGGATTTCATTTTTTTAGACAACTAATCACATGAATAAATGAAAATGTGTTTTAGTTAGCTCTTTTTTTATAATTTAAGTGGAGAGAAATGATTGCTAGGCTGAAAATTTGAATCTTCGAGTATGGTTGATGTTATCATACTCACGTTATGTTAGACACATTGAATGGAAAGGGAGAAGAATGTCTCTAAGTGAGTTTCGATAAGAGGTCACTATGTTTAAACTAATTAAGAACTTCATCGATGGGATTGGGTGAGAGTCATAGTTTGAACAATCTCAATTGCGTGCTATATCTTGACATACATAACTCTTATAAGCTATAATGTTGATGAGTAGTCACTGATAAACATTAATGGAATCACTCTATTTTTTTTTATGGATTTTTTTTATGGACACTCTATTTCATACAATTACTTGCTTAATGCTTACAATGACATACATACTTTATGTTGAAATCAACTACTAAAACAATACGATAATAGTGCAAATAATACAACACCTCTCACATCACTAATCAATACAATACCATACAAATTAATCACAAGAACTCAAATCATCAAAATCTCATCATTTGAAAAAAAATCTATTTGTTTAATAACTCAATTCGAACAATGGTGTGATCTAGTGGTAATAACTATAAACTTGAACATGTAGGTCACAAGTTCGAAAAATCATAAATAATACCTAACAAAAAAAATAACATATATCACTCTGATAAAAAAAACCACCCTTAATACAAAATTCAAAAAGTGCATCAAAGCAGAATTATTAGGGCTGGCTATTTGGACCGGGACCGGATGAAAAACCGGAAACCGGACCGTATAACCCGGACCGAGACCGGATCGGGACCGGATAGTAAACAATCCAATCCAATTTTTGGGCTTAGATTTGAGGTAAAAAACCGGATAAAGACCGGATAAGAGAGCTCAACATCCAAAACTTAAGGGTAATTTGCATAAACGGTCACAAACCTTTGCACTTAGTACAAAACTTAACCAACTCCTCACCCTTTTAGGCCTTAGGCCACTCAAATTCCCACAATCTCAATATAAAATCAAGACCGAATTGGGACCGGACCGGGTCAAGACCGGACCGGATCAAGACCGGACTGTATCCAATCCAATCTTCGGTCCTTATATTTTCAAAAAAACCGGACTGGACCGGATCAATTTGGGTCAATTTAACCGGACCGGACCGTATAGCCACCCCTAAGAATTATAATAATCTGCAAAATGCCAGTCATTCTATATGGTCAAGTGTGAGAGAAGGAAGTAGTAGTTCCTTAGCTTGTGTATGTATGCAAAACAATACTATAATATGTGCGCATGTGTGTACAATGGGACAAAGACAAAGTCAGAAGTTAGGGTTGGAGGCTTGTCTCTCTTGTATCCCAATGCCAATATCACAGAGAGAGAAACTAGAGAAAGAGAGTGTTGTGTGTGTTATTATTATAATACACATACTACCACAGATTTTTTACACTACAAAACATAGGTTTATACATATATGTAGGAAAAATGGTAATGTAAGAGGAAACAATAGCCTGCCCCATTGCCCTTTTCCTCTTCTTTAACCTCCATTTTCTAAACTGTTCATTGGGAAACAAATAGTTGGAAACCAAAGCCAGCAGTTGCGTTGATGGGGGAGCCCATCTGGTCGGCTAGCTTGCTTGCTTGGCCCATTGAACACTTCTACTACTGTCCCAACCAACCAAACCAAACCAAACCAAACCCCAGGGCCAGCCTCTCACCCATTGTTCTTCCTTTCATCACCTCTCATATCATCTACACCACCAATTTCAATTCACCTGTTTACACCAAAATATTTTTTCCCTTTGAAAAAATCACTTGAGGAGTTATTTTGGGCAGTTGGATAGCTTTAAAAAGTCCGATTCATATATAGCGGATCGTCTGGTCGGACTGTATATCTGGTGGATAGTAATTGGAAGTGAGCTGATCATCCGATATTTGGCCACTGTCTGTCAAGTCTCATACCATCCAACTCCTAAGTCGGTATAATCTCATTTTACGTATGTGGATACCATATCTAACCCTTTTATGGATGATACAATCACATATCATGAATATCATCCAATACTTTAGTGGATGGTATCATCCCAGTCTACATGGACGCTATCCAACCTCCAACTGAATGGTATCATCCCATATCATGAATATCATCCAACTCCCTAGTAGAAGATAACATCCCATAACATGGATGACATCCAGATAATGATATATATAATCCAGTCTCATGGTTGTCATCGAATTTGACATGACGACTTAAGTAGTAGATGATTGCTATGGCATGGTGACGTGTTCAGAGGCTTTCCTAGACGACAACTAACTCTCGCGATGCTACGTAACAACTACTTTTCGAGAAGAGGAAAGAGAGGATAGTTGGGAAACTCTCTACAACAAAACTTGAAGCAGTTACCTAGGAGAGGAGAGACAATTACAACATGCAAAAGAACTTAGCTCAATTATCCCTTTTTCTTTGTTTTATTGCCGTTCGCGGAGCTCTCCTCCATGAAGGAGTATCTATATGAGTAGTGTAACGTAACGAGGTTCTCCTTACATCAAATATCCTCATTCGAACAATGTTTGAAAATGTGAGTCTAAGTTACAATCTTCATCTAGATAAAAGCTTCAAATTAAAATGAATCTTATTGCACTATCATGCATGTACAAAATCCATAAATCTAACTGCCAATAGAATCCTTTCAAAATTCAAACACAATATTTTTCAGTTAAACTACTTCAATAAACTACTTCAATATCAGGAATTATTGTTGAAATGATGAACTGATTGTCCACAGATAAAAATCTTATAGAAAGAGTTAGATTTTGATACTGATTGGATCCACTGCCATTCTCCTATCCATCTCACAGGGACAAACACAAGGACAGAGAGTAGATAATTGAGCCCTTTACACACATAAATGAACCTAATGTTGTACACATTCTTCATGTTGCCTTTAATAATCCCCCACCATATGGTTTTCCAACTTCATTCCACTGCAACATTTCCACCACAGTACATACCATTGACCTGTCAGACAATTCTTGGCCAGTCTCTCTCAAGCCCTTAAGTTTCCCACCTCCACATATATCATTTCCATTTTTTTTTATATCGACCTACCTATTATGTCCAAATTAATTATGTATGACGATGATTATGATAACCGACTCAATTTTTTTTGGTAAGTGATTCATAAAATACAAGACAACTAGAGTGTACCTCTAGCAAGTTGTATATTCTCTACACAATAATTTTAATGATAATTTACTAGCTTTTGATACATGGGGAAAAACAACTAGCTTATAATGCAAAGAATAAGAAAATCCGAATTAACAAGGAGTATATATATCCGTGTTAAATTACGCAATACTACTCATACTTCTTAGCACCATCACTAAATGATAATATTTGCATTGGTTACAACTTTTGGCACCCCACCACTAAAGCAAACATGATTCAAGACCAATTTAGGTTCAAATTATGAAAGCTAACCAAATCCCATTTTTTGCTTTAATTAATTTCCCTTTATTTTATACATTAGAAATGGCATGGAGGAAGAAACAAAAGTTAGGTCATACTATATTTTGGAGAGATTAATAATTAAGGTTTTGATTTTTTTCACTCTACTCTCTTTGTCCCCTCATAGATTACATATCGAATGGTACAGGTTTTCACCAATTCAATTATTGATTCATGTTTCTTTTTTTCCCAAATGAAACAATTATTGATTCATGTTGTGGACAAGTAAAGCTAATAAAGTACAATATGATATGAACTATTATTATTATTTATCTAGCTAGGGTAT